CGTTACCTTTCCGAGTGTTCAGTCATTTTATAGGTCAACACGTTACCTTTCCAAGTGTTCAGTCATTTTATAGGTCAACACGTTACCTTTCCGAGTGTTCAGTGACTTTATAGGTCAACACGTTACCTTTCCGAGTGTTCAGTCATTTTTATAGGTCAACACGTTACCTTTCCGAGTGTTCAGTCATTTTATAGGTCAACACGTTACCTTTCCGAGTGTTCAGTGACTTTATAGATCAACACGTTACCTTTCCGAGTGTTCAGTGATTTTGGTTTGTTTGCCGTGTAACATCAATAACTAAATTTCGTGGATTTTTAATAAGGTGATATGTCACACATATAGGGCTGAGTGCTGCTCAATGGTTAGCGGGTCTGACTGTGGGACTGAGTTTCTGTGGTTCGCGTCACATTACTGCAAAAAAGTCGCACTGCGCACTTTGTGGCCGTGGGTTTGTTATAAGAGTGACGGTCATATCTCACTACTCGGTTTGATATGAGTAGCCTAATAGTTGACCGTGGGTGGCGTTGACTAGCTGCCTTACCTCTAGTCAAAACTAGGGAAGGTTACCGCAAATATAGGTTTGCGTGAAACCAAACAAAAACAAGAGGGAATCCTCAATAGCCGCGGCACTTGAAATTATTTTAGACAGGATTAGAGTACATTAATGTATGATACCCTTTTTCTTCCTTTTTACTAGCTATATTTTTGTGAGCCAGCAATACCAAGCGTGAGGCGCACGTATACCCGCCCGATTCGATATTATAACTTATCAGGTTCTCAACCAGTCTACCCTCAATCTGAAGTTCTCTTAGACAGGATTAGAGTAAATTAACATATGAGACATTGGGCGTGGTTAAATAAATCAATCAAAAGGGTTTGACCTCCTGAGTCGAAAACTGTAATTAGATCTCAAATCGGTCAAGAGATGACGGAGCGATGAGCTAAAATGTGTACTTGAAAAAAAAAATCAAACCCATTCTATGATTCGCTATTTCGCTGCTAAAAATATATGGTAAGTTCTTGGAAATGCTAATACTAGAAATAAACGACCTTATGATATCAAAATGTTGTTTTTATTTAATTATACACTCAACGTTTCGATTTACACCTTCTTCGAGAGCGTTTATTAAAGCACAAAGCTCGTTTATTTCTGCCCCCAGTGGCACAGCGGTATGTCTACGGACTTACAACCGTGGAATCCGTGGTGGACAGAGTACAGATAACACATTGTGTAGCTTTGTGTTTAATTACAAACAAACAATAGTTTATTTCCAATATTAATATGTCTTGTATACACCAGTATGCACAACAGAAATTAAATGAGTTCTTGTGAATATTGTTATTCTTAGTGGAAACATTATTAGTTAGAATATTGTTTACAGTAACTTACTGTTGGTCTTCAAATAGCTTCATATTTATACTTTCTTAAAGAAATTCTTAACATATTTGGAGTGTGTGGCAGGAGAGTAATACAAGCTGATTGGTTAATTTTTATCATCTCCCAGTTTGATTATGTGAATCAGAACAATCCGACATTCGTAAGCCTAACTATTTTATGGCATTGCACAACCCACAATTAGAATGGAAAGTTAAATGAACTACATTATTAGTTTTTAGTTATGGTCTATGAAGGTAGATCACTTTAATATGAAGGAAATTATTTGTAATTCATATTCTAGAAAAACGATAACTTATCTGGCTAAAATAACTATTAATGTTTATAATAAATAATAAACGCATTAGTAATATTACTATTATTATTATTAGTAGTAGTATTTAGAATTGTTGTGCAAAGCTATATAAATGCTCATAGCCATCCCTTATTTTGAATTGATAGACTAAACAAAAGGTAGCTAGTCAACAGCAGCCACAATTAATTTGTCTGACCAAATAGCATGATTTGACCGTCACGGCCCAAAATGTGGGGTGAAACTGGGTTTTTTGTGGCAACGTTACACTTAGTACGAACTCTCAACCACATCCTGCCCAAAGGAGGTTTTTTTGCTTTTTTATTTTAGCGCAAAGCTACAGTGAATCGTCTGCGCTGTATCAACCGAGGGAATCGAAACTCGAATTTTTAGCACTATAAGCTACCAACTTTACCGCTGAAACATCGGGGGACATCCCTGTTAGTAGAAGCACACAGTTTCAACAGAAGATTAGCTAAAAACAGAGGCGGATAGGCATTAAAGGACCAGCCCGGGCAATATCACATGCTGTATACTGGCTAAGCAATTAAAAATTAAAATTAATTTCTAAGAATGCGTCAAATGCACCGGTATCCCGGTGGGACAATCAGCCCATGGCTAAAAACACATTAATCGCGAAGTTTTAGGCCACCAACTCAAACTTAAACGATTGCTTATTCAAAAAATATCATTTTTACTTTTGTATTAATTGAAGCTGTCACTACGAATTCCAAGAGTGTTATAAACTGTTCTATGGATAAGATTGATTATTATTTTGATAATGAGGGCCATACACTTAGAAAACTTTAGACATTTAGGACACTCCAGGACCTGGAAACAATTAAAAGTATAGTTTGAAAAGTTTTTAAAGTCTTTAATATCAAGTTACCCCAATGATAGGTCTCAACCTTTAGATCAGTGGTCGGCAACCTTTTTTGATGGCGGGTCAATTATTATTATTCTTTTTGAAAAATTTAGCACTGTGTTGGGTCAGTGACATTCATATAATTCTTAATACCGATACATATATTTAAATATGTATGTTTATTTACATACAAGAAACAAAATTATTTATTTTCAAAATAACAAACAAGATGATTCAGTCACCATATATATATTTAACAACAAAAAATAATCAGTTCTTGATTTAATGGCTTCCTTGGTACATTTTTACACGTTTTAGTATCAGCCATGCGACTAGTAAGATGACGTCATTCAGTGACGTCACCCTGCAGCCATGATGGGAGTGAAAAAGAAATAAAACAACTTATCTAGCCTACACATCTGTTCTGTTGTTTCAAATAAAACACTACCCTCACTTAAATATAGCCTGAAACTCTTATTTATCTGTAAATATAAATACTTTGTCAGATACTCACCTTAAAACCTATGAAAACACCAAAATATATCATACACAACACTTTCCGCTAGACAAGCAAGGAATCTCTCGGCTAATGACAGCACAGTACACCTGAAGTATTACGGTCAAAAGTTTTATCACAAATAGTTCGACTAGCTTGAATATTTTTTCCTAAAATTGATCTTAAAATTCTCTGTGGTCGTGACTCTTTCCCTTCTTACCTTTAATATCTTTCTTCTTCTCACATAGCCGAGAAATTTAAACTGAGCAATAATTGTGCCCTCACGGTTTGCAACGGTGAAGCCAACTTTTGGCGGGTCAGACAAATCAATGCCGCGTGTCATAGGTTGCCGACCACTGCCTTAGACGATTTGGCTCTGCAGACAGAACCAAGTTTGACCAAAAAATCTTCAGTTTGTAAACTTTACATTTTGCCCACTGAATGTTTTTAAACGAGGACATATTCTAATTTATTCACTTTAAAATATATTAAATCTTTCGATCTCAATTGAAAGTACTTGAATACAAAGAAAACACGAGTTCTGTATATTAAACCAGAAGTGAAGTTTTGTAACAAACATCTTTTTATAGTCGTTTGGTAAATCTTTATCAGTTTTGTTGTCTAAGATAAATAAAGGTCAAAAATTGTCCTTAAAACCACATGTGCAGTGTTATCTGCAGTCAAATATCCAAGTTCGCGGCGGTGCGTGTGTTCGTTGACTGGATTGTATAGATGCGCCCTCAAGTGGATATATCTTTTATTAACGCGCAGTTGAAAAGACCACGTGGTTTTTGTGTGATTTGTCACTAACGCAACGAAATACCTTGAAATGCAGTTACTGCTTTCATGCGCGTGGATCGATTTCATTCAGTGGTTTGGTGTCAGTTTCTACAGCCGTTTAGCGAATCATCCAAGAGAGAAAATTGAATCGTTTGCTATTAAATTAGCTGCATTAAAGGTAGTCGTCACGATGAAGTCGAGAAGAGGTGAGTTAAGTATATGTTAATAATCTCAAATTTTTCAATTTTAATTTATAGTCTCGAGACTGCTTGTGTTAACTCATTTAATGTCTGAGGCCACATGTTAACCAGGTCTGTCCACGTGGCCATATGTTGACCCCAAAACAACCTAATTATTATTTCATAATCCCAGATCCTGAAAACTCTAAGCATGACTTAGTATTATGTTGTACGAAAGTCGCGATCGGTCAACGCTTTTCTTTGTATTGAATACTCATAACAGTTGTATTTTATAGGACCAGAGAATGGCAGTAAATTTGCTGGCACTCATAATATTTGTTTATTTATTTTTGCTTTGTGTGTATATATTTTATGGATTGAAACTAGATGCAACATATTTAAAATGTTCGATGACGAGAAACCCACTTTGAGACTAGTAATGGTTGGAGACGGCTTGAATGGGTAATAAAGAAACTTTAAATAAGTTTAA